TCCAGCACCCGTAGATCTCTCGGTTGTATTCCGTTCTCCTTGCACAACCTCATCTTGCTCAGCTTGACGATGTTCAGCATGTGCACCTCGCTCGTTGATTCATCCATCCTGACCAGCGTGCATCGCGAGTGAATTACGTCTCGATCCTTGATCAATTGCGTTGCTGACGGGAATTCGGTGAGTGCTCTGCGTAGGATGCCATGGTATGAGCAGTGGAGAGGCAGTGGGCGACGCAGAGCACAGAGCATGATGGTTGGTGATAAACATTGGGCACCGAGACACCGAGTCCCTGGTCGCAATTAGAAACACGTGACACACTCCCCGCTCTTTGACGCGTCGCGCGTTCTCTATTAGTGACCGCACACTTCGCCCTTCGATGGCCCCGTCATCCAACCAGAAGAAAAGAGGCGGTCCGAACGCAATTCTTCGTGCCCCTTTTCGCGTTCAGGACCGCCGATCCCGCCACACGCCAATGATCAGGTGCCTTGGGCATCCAGCGATGAACAGCAACGTATGGGACGCAATGTGCAACAGGGTTATTTGCCGGTGCGCGGCAGTGCCAATTCGAGCAGGTCAAGGGGCAGAGGCCGTCGTGGTCTGGACAGGTTGAGCAGGGGCGGACGCTGACGCTGAGGGTCCGATCACTTCACATTGCACCTCCCTAGTGTAATGAAATACGGGCAGAAACCAGTCCGCAGAACAAATGTCTTCTGTGGCCTTGATGTGTGGAACTTTACGAATGACAAACTGACCTTGGAACTGATGTGACCTAAATTCAACTGGATGGACATCCACAAGGACTATCGGTTGGAAGCAGTCGCAACATTGACAGATAAGGCGGCTAAAGCGCACGCTGGATGCATTTCTTCGCCCATTGCATCAGACGACCAAAACTCTCAAGGAAGTCTTCCCACGTCAACACTTGAAGACGTTGTCAACGAGGATCACGAATGTTGCCAGTGCACTCACAGCCGTCCTCGCATATAAGGGTCCCAGAGGATGGGTTTTCCGCGCAGCGTTGCTCAAGAGCTTGACGTGCATGCGTGGACATGTTCAGACCTGCCGCAAGGATCTCGTCCAGCATGTGTTCGAGTTCCTGCGTGGCACTGTAATAGGAAGTGCGATGCACCATGAAGAAAATCAAGCCCTTTTCATTTGTCCAGCATTGTCGCTGAGGGTATCGCGAGACCGCGGCAACCGTTCTTTCGAATTGTTGAGAAAAGAACGTGCTTGGTGAAGGTATGCAGATTAGGCGCCACTGTCGAAGTTTTCGGGACATGCATGGCTGGTTTGCGTTGACGTGGCTTCTCATCTTCTCGTCCATTGCTTGTTTAACCAATTCGCGGCCCAAAGACCGAAGTGGACGAGACACCTGGTGCAGCAGTCAGCAGGGTTGATATAGTAAGGTCAAACACTATGTACCTTGTCTTTGTTCATTCTTTGCCAATCTTCACACGTCATCTCCCCCACGAGTCCCGTAGCGTGTGGATAGAGCGAGTAGGCGAGATCATCAAATGTTGTTCCCTTTTTGACAGCATCGACGCGATGGGATGCGAACAAGTCTCGCAATGTATTATCCTCTGGGGCCAGAACAAAGAGGGTCGCGTTGTCGATGCGTTTCAAGGCTGCAATGACGTGCGTCATTCCCGAATCTTGACACAGAATATGATGGTGCACCTGTTGGTAGAAGGCTCTAGTAGTGTATGTCTGCATATCGCCGATCGATTCGCTGCCGTGCAGTTCGTACTGACGTATGGACAAGGTAGGAACTACGGTACATCGCCGGTCTCCGTTTTTTCGCAGCCAAGCTTGTGTCTTGTAGAAGATCAGCACGATGGTTTTCGTGAACTCTTCTACGTTCAGCGAGCACAACAATCAGGCTCAAGTATTGCGGGAGAGAACAACGATGGAACGCACCTTGCGAATTGCAGGTCCCCGAGATCAAAACACCGTTCACCTCTCGACCTTGCAAGTCATAGTCTTCCCGAAGGCTGGGGCAAACCAAGCGCTGGCGCGAAAACTCCCTAGACACGGATCCCCACCATTGGTGGATTGCCAGCCTCCAACACAGGCGACAACAGACGCCAACAGCATCTTCATCGGAACGTGGTAGTAAACGCATGGCAAAACCGCACCATGTACGGGTCTTGACAAGTACGACAGCCTGGGATGATGGGTCAAGAGGCGGAAGGGTTACTGTCAGCAAATACGACCCACCCCATGGTCGACAAATCCCGCCGCTCCGGGTACAGACGGAAGATCGGGGGGTTGATGGACAACGACCTCACGAAGCCGCAGTAGCGCATCCCTTTGCGCCCATCTCCCCAGCCAATCATCGCAGCGACGAGTGATATGTTCTAACAGCGGAGTTAGCAATTGTGTCGCCCTGTCGAGGAGCATTATACCGGGTGCCACGACAACCATTGTAGCTTGCTTTGGGCGAAGAACACTGAGCCATCTGTTTATTGCTGCACAAAGCGGTTCTGGATCACCAGAGGGTCCCAGGAGTGCTGCACTGCCCAATCTTGAGCCCTCGAAACCCGCCAAGACCTCTCCAATGCTTTCGCAGACTACGTCGAGATTAGGCCAGTACTTCATCCGGGACGACTCGGCATCCACCTCTCGTACAGCGGTCAGGGTGCGAAGGGTGGTGATGTGCTCCGTGAAAATACTGGACAGCGTCAAGTTGATGATCCATTTAGCGAGCCTCTGGGCACGCTTGGGATGGCCAAGGACCGGGACCCGAACGTAAATGCCCATGTAAGACGTCCAGGTTCGTGCATTGATCTCAGCCCCAGTTTCTGCAAAGATTTCCTAGTCTTCAAATCAGCGATCGAAAGCACAGGAGTGAGGACAACATTGTGCACTTCGTGTATGTTGCGCGCTATGCAATGTTCCACGCAATGCGCCAGCCCCGGGCAAAGTCTCTCATCAGTATTCCGTCTGAAAGGTAGTTCAATGTATAAAATGAGCGCATTTTGAGTGACAGTACGAAGAATTGCGTTCGGACCGCCTCTTTTCTTCTGGTTGGATGACGGGGCCATCGAAGGGCGAAGTGTGCGGTCACTAATAGAGAACGCGCGACGCGTCAAAGAGCGGGGAGTGTGTCACGTGTTTCTAATTGCGACCAGGGACTCGGTGTCTCGGTGCCCAATGTTTATCACCAACCATCATGCTCTGTGCTCTGCGTCGCCCACTGCCTCTCCACTGCTCATACCATGGCATCCTACGCAGAGCACTCACCGAATTCCCGTCAGCAACGCAATTGATCAAGGATCGAGACGTAATTCACTCGCGATGCACGCTGGTCAGGATGGATGAATCAACGAGCGAGGTGCACATGCTGAACATCGTCAAGCTGAGCAAGATGAGGTTGTGCAAGGAGAACGGAATACAACCGAGAGATCTACGGGTGCTGGACACTGACATTGTACGCACTACAACGTCAGTCACGC